AAACTAATAGTAGGGATTGCTCTATAGATTCATCACATGTAGCGATCCCCTTGTACGGAGATCGAGAACGGAAGCATTTCATAACCGAGCTGAGGATGGCGACGGACAATACCAGAGCGAGGTAAGGCGAGAAGATCGTCGGCTTCCCGTGAGCTTCCATCAGGATCTTCAACGCTCCTGCAGTCTTCGTCTCACATGCTTCTATGTCTAGACAGTAACGTTGTGTCAGGATACTTCTCTAGCATTGGGTTTGTAGTGGCATCTGACTAATAATGGTTGTACTGGAATCGAGAAACGTTAACCCCTCCAATGGAGGCCCTCAGGGCCTCCATTGACAGTATTCCTTACATGATTATAGAAATGTTTTGGGCGTGAGGTTTAGCCTGGAACTGATCACTCAGTTGCTAATAGCAACTTGCTTTACTTTACCCAATCTGGGACAGCCGTTACTGTCTATCTATAGCTTCCTGCCTGCATCTCTGCCAAACTCGGCATTTTTGACGACGTTAGAAGGTCTTGGTCTCATCAACTGCCCTGAGGGCAGTTGATGCTCTCTAGCAAGGATACGAAGCACTCAGTCCAATCACTCTCACTGTAAGTATTCCTATCTGATAGCTTCTATTACTTTCTTAAGTAAGTATTCTATCACGGTTATCTTCACCAGGTGTCGATACTGTCGGAAATAGCATTTACGGAGAGCATACATCGGAAGAAACTTGCGGATGGAGACCAGTGGGTAAGAGCCATCGATGTCCCATGAAGTGCTATTATAGCACTCTCATATAGCACTGCTATATGAGATTATTCGCGCATTCGTCAGTCGTTTATATTGGACGACGATTTTGTATATTTATGATAGGATTTTTGCAAGGAAGATCTTCATATTCTTTCTAGTACCTGACTTTTGGACACGAGAGCGGAGCTCGATAATGTATTTCAACAGTTAAAATTCAACTCCTCATTAACACTTTTATCAGCACTGAAAGTGAGTATTTGATTTATCGGTTGTTCGAGTTCTTACAGTTGCGTTTCCTATGGATGGCGGAGTACAAGGGAATGGTGAACCGTTCAGCGGATTCCGCAAAGCATGGAGAAGGACAGTGGCGAATTAGGTCAGTGAAGCTTCTGCAAACTATTGCCTTGAGTTGGTTCAATGAGCCAAAATTATGAACCTAATATAGAAGTAATGGAGTAGCTCGCAACACGAGCTGAGCCAGGCTTAATTAGTTTCTTCCCGGAAAGTTCTGTTTTTTGGGCATTCGTTAGAACGATGTCGTTTTCTATAGGCAGGCAGTAACTGTCAGCCACCGTGTTGAACTCTTAAGAGCCTCAAATTGGGAGTGCTTAGGAATCGATGTTGCAATAAAGAACAATAAGGAGTTACGATTGAGACGATTTCCAATGGTATCAACCCGAGCCTATTCTGTTGAGTAATGAATAAATGAGTGAGGAGTTAATATATAGTCTCAAGTTAAGCCTCTGGTTTTTCGCTCGCGATGGCATCAAGTTCCAACGCTCCTACCTCGTCTACTCGAGCACGTACGAGTCGTCTAACATGAATTGCGCCTCAATAACCCTCAGTGGGGTTGAATTGAATTATACCAGTGAGCGTGAATCATCTCGGCATCCTCATTTCCAGCCAAAATCATGATAATTGTCAATTATCATAATTTTGGCTGGAAATGAGGTTGTCAATTATTAATTGAGAACGAGTGTGAGACGATTCCGCTGGTACTGTCTCTTTCTCATTATTCCTATGTCTATTTATTTCGGCTCAGATAACGAGATGGCGATAGAAGAATTTGTGGTCGACTTTCTACGTCAGGCGAGAAGGGATTTCCCTAATATGGATGTTAGGATTCTGACCTCCGCTGCTCTCACGGAATGGGAGTTCATTCATGAGTAACGGGGGGTTGTGGTTGGCGATATGAGATCGTCATTCTTCATGTTCTCAGTTCCACGACTCGTGAGAATCGCGAGAAAACGAAGATCCGAGATCGCGAGCAGTCCCACAGTGGGACTCCCACTCACATTCATCGAAGTGATAGATGCGGCTGTGCTATATGGGTTGATCCTGGCAGATACCTCCTCCTATCGTCATACTGATGCTCCTGTAAGTCGCAGCCTCCAATCCATCCTTCATGTCCGGATGGTTTCATCTCGTAGTATCCTGCTGAAGAGTGTTAATGGACTACCAATCAGCAGTTCCATTGCCATTTAGTAGTCTTTGATTTTTTGCTGATACAACTTATGGAAGACGCTCCTGTAGAGACTCTTGGAGTCATAGAGTTGTCAAGCGGCCCGCTTTAAGCGGGAGTTCTGATTCCTAACAGGAGATGTTTCCTAGGCTAACCTCTTGGTAAATGGAGTGGCATATTTTGCGGGGGCCCAGAGTGGGTTATGGAATCAGTAGTCAGACTATGTTGCATAGCTATAGCCACATCTTTACAATTTCACCATCATTGTTCCGTTCGGTTCTCCACCTTCACCGTGATTCGCACCCTTCCACACTCGACGTGCTATTATTAGAGTGACATGAATATTATCACCTTTATGAGGTGGGTCCCACGCCCAGTATCATTATAGCTATGTCATTAGCACTCTCAAATTGAGAGTCTCAATTTTAATCGGACTATCTGGTTGATCTGATTAGCTCAATCAGCGGAACATCAGGATTCAATAACGTCCATGATGGATGATGATCGTCACCTCCATAGACTACGAACCAAAGGCACATTCTTTCTATAGTCTTGATGGGTAATATAGTCGCTAATACCATCATCAATACATATAATCATTGCGGTCTCCACCCTCGTAACTACGTTATGGTTTGAATCGCTGTCACCGTCATTATTCTCGCCATAACTTGTCGAGCTCCTCAATCGTTATCATCATCATAGTCTCAATTTGAGACTCCCAAACGCTACTCCATAGTCACAGATATCACAATTTTTGCTCTCGAAATTAACAGTTCTGAATAATTCATGATACAAACACACACTCATCATAATAATTTCAATTATCACTGCTATCATCATGTGTAAGATACCGGCGATACCTAAATAATAATTAACCTATTTCAACGGTTGGAATAGGTTAATTATTATTTAGATGAATAGGTTATAAATAAATGAATAGGCGCATAGGTTGAAATTCAACCTAATGTCCAGTAGTATCTTCTGTGTGCGTTATTCATATCTTTCATTGTATCCTTCGCTCGCCATAAGATACTTGTAACCGTCACGAAGCATGCAGGACAACCCCAATATAGATTTCAGATTATCATTATCATCATTTCCTAATCGACTGGTATTGAGTTGGCCTACTTTGACACCGGTGAATCTAACAATGCTAACTATCATCATTATAGCCACAGCTCGTAACAATAGCTCACATAGTCAAGGTTTTTGAGTTGTAGACTACGACTCGTAGTGCTTGCAATGACACCGTATCGGTGTCATCGTTGGGAGGGATGCTGAACTCTGTAGCTCGTCGAATCTGAGCGTCGAATGTCCAACAAGTTCGGTATTGTTGACATCCCAGAAGGGCATGGCCATGTGCGATTTCTAATCGCGGAGCACAGGGCGAATGAGGTGAGTGGAGTGTCGTAGTTCTCTTCGCGAAGCTAATCCTCAGCGCAACCATGGAGGCGGACGTGTGAACGTGTCCGAGATCTCAACGAAGGCTACAGAAGACAGTTTTCCGTGCGACACTACCGATATCAGGGACATGAACGAAAGTGTGCACGTGGAATCCTTTGTGCAAGCGCACAATCGCTTCAATGACAAGGTAACCTATCCGCATCTTTACAGCGTCATTCGCTGGAACCTGGTTCCTCAAAACTTAGGAACATGAGTTGATCATAAGTGTGTTGAATTTCTCCTATCATGAACTGATACTTGATTAAACAGGAGTTGAGAGAGTTTAGAATCGATCTCTGCATGTTTTGATCCTTTCAGCGCAATCGTGCACCATCGGGCGGAGTCCCTGGCAAACGAGACTGGTGTCAGTCCCAGCGGCCGAGACTAAACGGCAGCTCTGAGGTAAGGACCTTACCGTAAGGTCTAACGTTGACGGAGAGAATGAGACAGCAATCAGGTTTGCCTTCAGGTAGACAAGAAAATTGGGGAGTTGGCGGAGCTCCTCCGTCGTGGTGGGGTTGCAGTGCCTACGATCGAGCCCTCCAACGACCAAAAGGACACTTACACCGTTGGAGGTGATGCTGCTCAGTGTTCATAATTCATGCAGTTCATTCAGCTTCAGTTCATGCACCTCCATTCCCACTCTTATGTTTAAGAGTGAGAATGCACCACCACCTCTCATCCTTCTCGATGGAGTTCTTTCGCCAAACGGAGAGGCTGCGACCGGAAATGCCGAAGAGGATTATCGCGGCTTTCGCCATGACAGAGTGGGATAGTCTTGAAAGTTAGGTAGAAGGGCACTTTGGTTCTTTTGGTAACGACTGTGAATTCGCGCAGGTTGGAAATGGAGAGTCCAAGAAAGGTGGCAAGGAAGAAGGAAGAGCGAGACGATTCGTAAGACTCTGCTCGTGTGGTGATGATCTCCGAAATGGTGACATTCCTGAATACGTATAGGATAATATAACATGTGACTTTGTATCGCATTAAATGTCAATCCAAAACTTGATGAAAATGTATATTTTCAGGGCATTGGAAGGTCGTAGCCCCGAAGACATGCGGGGCTACTGGCTGAAGATTAATGATCGCGGTAATGCCTGATACATGGGATCATGTTTGACGAAATCTACCTACGTGAACAGTCCGCAAAAAAGTGTAAAAATTATATATGTCGATTATGTATTATACATGTTTGCATGATTTTTAGGTGTTGAAAATGCGAACAACAATAGTAATCATGATGTTGTTATTAAAAAAAGGGGTAAATATATATGATATGTATATCTTGTGATTTATCGTGATTTTTCAAGGTCGAGGAAGACCCAAGTTGTATGTTAATGGTATTAGAAAGTGTCGTACTGCGAAGGCTACCAAGAAGGTAATTTTCCTTGTGATTTCGGTTTCTAGTTTTTATTTTAGGTGCAATTATTTGCTTGTTTGCTGTGTAGCAAAAAAAAATGTACTTCTTTGGTCAGTTGGAAGAGATGTCAAATTTGATGTTTTCCCTTCTGTTTAAGTACCGTCACATTCATCGCAGTGATCTGTTGTAGTTACCGCCCTGCGTTACAGAGCTAGCATACAGCCTGCTCCGCATGAGGTGTATATCTTATAGAAGATATACATTTTTTCTGTTCAACTCGTCATTGTTGAGTTAGTCAAATTTACTCTATGAAAGAGTTCACCCTGACCCCCCACTGGAGGTTGTCCTGACCCCCACTGGAGGTCGTCCAGCCCCGAGAAGTCTCTCTTATCATATTAGAGGAGTGGGAACGTCGGAGTCAGTGTGTATTTATTAGCGAGAGAGTCAATAACTAGTCACCCGAGTAAACCGCATTCATTAAAACGCCTCACGTGGCCTCAAGGTTGAATGGACGAGTATAATAACGGATATATAAGCGAACTTGACATATACCGTGCTCGAGTGGGATATAAATGGAGACCGCGTCCATCTAAGGCCTGGAGGAGGCCACATTGATCGCATCAATTAGGCCGGCTAATTATAGCCACTTTAGAATAGAATCTATTCATTAGATGAGTACAGCTCATA